TGCAACACAAACACGCAACGCACATGCAAAGAAAGAGAACAAAAGCCAGACATACACATATGCAGCTCAAAGCTGTGGCTAGATTGGCTACAACATTAAACACACTCTCCTCAAAGTCTGATGTAACTCACCCTGAACCTTTGGTTGCCTCAACTGTGCAGTCTCTGCTGCCTCCTCCATCTAGTCCTCTCCTGATGAACCAGCAGCTCACAACAGACCGTGTTCGTGTTGTCATCCAGCAGTTAGTCCATCCACCCCAGCTGAAGATGATTCGGTCAGAATCATCACCTTTTCACCGAACACTGACACAGGACATGAAGACTGTGTGGGTTTTGATAACTCTGCTCTCTCTTCTCTCGCAGCGCCACTTCTCTTCCTCTAAAGCGAAGGCTGGCCAATGTTCTTTCACCATCGTATGAGGAGGAAGTTTGTCTCACTATCACTCTCAGACACACCTAACACCCCCAACTTCTGCTAAGGCCTGAGATATTTCTGGTAATCTGTGGTAGTGTTTGTTGCAATGCTATTTTATTTGTGATTCTATGTTTGTGGCCTATCAAAGGCTCTTGAATTTGGAACTACTTTATTTATGCTGCAACTTTCATTTATCTAACCTCTAACCACCATTTTATTCTGCATTTGCATCACATGAATACCAGATAGGAACTTTTATGCAGTAAAAACCCTTGAATTAGCAATAAATCAGCCTGAAATCTTGCTTTAGGATTCACCCAAGTCTATGGTATCCTCACAGCATTGCCCCCTGCTGGCTGATGGTGGTTGAGACACAGGAAGAGCAGTAAAGTGCTGACTCGGTGATGGCCGACTCATTGATTTTGAACAAAATCATCTCTGTTCTCCTCACATATAGAGACCTGCGGACATTAGTTTAGGAAGATAGTTTCATATGGTTTTGTATTTTGACATTTTCAAGAAATATTTCAAGTGAATGTGCCAACACTAAGGATGCTCTTCGTGTACTGCGAACAACAAACCAACAACCCTGACGAATTTTTCATTATATCTGATGGTAAACTTAAAGTCAGTCTTGCCGAAGTTCTACCAACACGTGCAACAAGGAGAAACGACACAGTCCGATGTGAAAAAAACACATTAAAACCACTTCTAAAACTTGCCAAAGCGGATGACAGTGTGGCCAGAAGATGCTTACGCAACACCTCAGGACTGCTTTAGGGACACAGACTGTAAAAAAAGTGGCAGCCACATAAAACGATAACACAGACCTTCAAGAATACACTAATGCAGTGACTGCCTATATCAAAAAGTCCATCGATGATATGACAGTTGTTACGTGGCTGACGAGACGTGAGACTTGCGGATCCATTCGCAAAGCTTTATTGTGGAGAAGACAGAGACGTGGTCATAAAGCAGGCATGGGTCAGATAATGGCAGACAGGTATATGGTGGGCAAAACACAAGAATAGTCCTAGGGCTAGCGCAGGTCGACGATCGGCAGACAGAATCAAAAAGGGGCAAGACAAAAGGGGTGAATCCAGGGAACCAGGTGAAGATCAAAAACCGGAGAAAACAGGCTAAGGCTAAGGCTAAGGCAAAAGACTAGGGCTCCGTAAAGTAGCTATCTGGGGAAAGATAATCGCTGAAACAATACTCGGCAGAGGGAAGGGAACAGAGTGAGTGTTAAATAGTGAGGAAGTGATATGAAACAGCTGGGTGCAATCAGTGTAAACAGGTGTGTGCAATTCGTGCTGAGTGCAATCAGTGCAATGCATGATGGGAAATGTAGTCCGGGGTGATGTGCAACAGTGTGTAGTGCGAGAGTCAATGAAATGGAAAGTTCATGGACCGGATTCGTGACAACAGTCACTAAAACGATCACCACACGTGCCAACCAGAAACCATGGCTGACAAAAAAAAACACAGACCTGAGATTATGCACTCAGATCAGGAGATAAAGCAGCCCTAAAACTCTAAGGACCAGCCTGTCACGAGGCATCAGAAAGGCAAAACTATTTTCATAGTAAAAAGGATACAGTGCCCACAAACACACACCTTGCTCCACTGATCGGCCTTCCAGTATCCAGGTAATGATACTCTCTAAGATCACAATGGGATTGTGTGGAAAAAGCCCACAGCTTCAGAACGGGTCCTGTGCTGGAGTCCAGAATAAATACGCATTACTGAACTCTGAAACACATACTCACAATTACTCGTGCACTACTGTTCAAAAGTTTGGGGTCAATAAGATCAATACTTTTATTCAGCAAAGATGCATTAAAATGATCAGAAGTGACAGGAAAGACATTTACAATGTTACAAAAGTTTTCTATTTCACATAAATGCTCAAAGAATGAGTTACCATAAACATTTAAACAGCACAACTGATTTCGACATATGTCGATAATAATAAGAAATGTTTTAAATCAGCATATTAGAATGATTTCTGAAGGATCATGAGACACTGAAGATTTGAGAAGTGATGCTAAAAAATTCAGCTTTAACATCACAGGAATAAATTACATTTTAAACAATCAAATCGAAAATTTTAAAGTGCAGTATTTCACAATAATACTGTTTTTACTGTATTTTTAACCAAATAAATGCAACTTTGGTGACGATCTTTCAAAAAATCTTACCTTATGGTAGCGTAAGTAACTCGTTTTGTTTACTGGACTTCCTTATGTACAGGCCTCTACCCTTGATTTTTCGTTCAAATTTAAAGTAATTAGTGACACAGGTAAGAGTTTCAAGGTACATTTGACGATCAGTTTTACATCTCAATACAACATATATAGCATGAATTAAAAAACAGAATTAAAGGGTTAGTTCACCCAAAAATGAAAATTAGCACATTCTTCTTTACAAATCCTCGTTTTGTACTTCTAATTAGTGACCGTTGTTTTGTTTGGATCTCTCCCCTGCGCTTCCGCGTTCGTCACTTCTAAGCGGCGCATGCGCAAAGCTGACCTGCCATGAAACGGCTTGAAAGATCAAAGACCATTTTTAATATAACTCTGACTGGATTCGTCTGAAAGAAGAAAGTCATATACACCTAGGATGCCTTGAGGGTGAGTAATTCATGGGCTAATTTTCATTTTTGGGTGAACTAGCCCTTTAATTAACAAATGAACTTATCAGTGTCTCAAAGCCATGCAACATCATGGTAGCACCTGTTGTGCTTCACAACACTGGTAAGATAAGCAGTGAGAAGAATTAGCTACTGCATAACATCTTATAATAATAATTTGTTCCGATTCTGAATCTTTTTAGATATCCTCTAAAGCATTTAAGCTAATTTTACCCACCAGTGAATTGAGATCTACACTCAAAGCAGTAATCACATCATCATCATCTATCTTCAGCGTGCAGGAAAATGGTTAGCAGGCCTGTGCCAGCATCATGATGTTTGTCTTGTGGCTACGCAGCTGTGATATAATTAAACCTGGAAGATGGATATAGATGTTGATATGACTGACAAAATGGTCAAAAATAAATGGCACGTCATTATCTCTACAGAAACGACATGCAGCCTCTAATGAATCTGCTGGAAATAAAGAGACATAATATTTATTTCAGTGAAAAATGTTTTAACCATTCTTTATATTTAAGGCACAGTTGGTGAAATACAGTCACAGTTACATACATAGTGATAGTACGACATTGTGACTAAACAGCGGCGCAATGACAAAAATTCATATCAAGCACATGTAAAGCCTGCTCGGCTGTCCTGTGTCAAAAAAATCAGTGTTCTCAAGTGAGAACCCAAAAAATGGGAATGTTGCCGTGTGGAATGTGTGTAGACCTTTAATTGCTGTCCTGATGATACGACAGAAAAACCACACAGTGAGGCGTTTATGGTTGTTGGATTTGATGAAGGGAAGTAAAAGTCTGAAACACCACCAAAGAGAGTAATGGTATCACAAGGCCTAAAAATAACATCCTTCAAGTTAAAATAACATGTTTCGTGCCTTAAAATAAAAACATGTTTCATGTCTCTTTTATTAGTGTTTAGAATGACTATGTTCATGTCTGGAAAGTGAACACTGCAAGAAAAATATTAGTTACATGTAATTATTTCAGTTTTTTTCCCCCTTTCAGATTGATTAATCAAACTGTTCTAAAAACACCAGTGGACGGATTCACAAAATATCCTCAAGATAAAAATCTTCTTAGCTGCGGTTTTCTTCTTATTTTTAAACTTGCGAAGGAATAAAGTTAAGAATGTTTTGTAACTCCAAAAATGAAGAACTTACTGTATAACTGTCCTTTTTTATGTTGTAAAAACAAAACTTACAAGAATAATTCAACCAAAAATGAAAATTTGTTGACAATTTACTCAGGCCATCCAAGATGTAGATGAGTCCGTTTCCTCATAGAATCAATATTCTATTATTAAGGCACTTCTGGCCAAAATACATAAGTCCATAATCTATAATAAAGCTTCCTCCAGTGAAAACATCCATCTCCTGTCATCCTCTAACATCAAATTCCACCAACATATGATTGTTTTAGACTGTTTTTGCTTGTAAATGGTGGTTGATCTGTGCTCATTTCTCCCATTTTAGACAAGGCTGGAGGAAGCGTTATTATGGATTATAAACACATATTTTGGCCAGAAGTCACGATTTAAAGTTAAAATGCCATAATGATGTATTTGTTTCTTACAAACACACAGCTTTTCACTTCACAAGACATTAATTGATGGACTGGAGTGGTGTGGATTAATGTGATGTTTTTATCAGCTGTTTGGACTCTCATTCTGACGGCACCCATTCACTGCAGAGGATCCATTAGTGAGTAGGTGAAGTAATGCTTAATTTCTCCAAATCTGCTCTGATGAAGAACAAACTCATCTACATCTTGGATGGCCTGAAGGGGAGTACATTTTCAGCAAATTTTCATTTTTGGGTGAACTAATCCTTTATGAATTTTTCAAGAATTGCCCTTAAGAACATCCTTACAAACTTAACATTTATCTTAGTAAATCTGCTAAATTCTTTCTTAAGAAGATCTTCAGGAACCCGGCTCCTGGCATTTTTAAAAATCGCAGGATACAGTGAAAAACAGATGCTGTTGTCATCAGAAAGCGCAGTCAGGCCTCTGTTACAAATCTACAAATAAAGGGACAGATGTTTAAACTCAAAAACATTTTTTCTTCAGGCAAACAACAGATTAAAAAAAAAAAAAAATCTCTAAAAAGGTTAGATTTGGTTAGATATATTGTGCTTATAAGGTGGAACTAGACTTTGCCCCCAGAAGCAAGTCTAGTGGCGTGTCCAAAACAACGTCTCTCATAGTTCGTCTCGAGCTGTTCTGTCCAGAGGAGACTGGAGCACATCTGAGTTTTGGGCCTCTGTGCTGATCTCAGCCTGTTCCCGGGTTTTACCCGAGTGCTTCCTGTCCCAGTCTGTGCGCACTTTCTCATTGTCCCACACTGTGGAGGTTTCTGTGTCACTGATATACCCAGGTTCACCTGTGTAGTGTGTAGGAAACACAAGCAAGGGCTCCGCTGAAAATGCTTCCAGGTCCCTCGTCTCAAACTGATCCATGTAATCCGATCTGAAGAGGATGATGGTATTAGATGTAAAGATGAAGACAGAGTGAAATTAGACAAAGGCAAAACATAATAACATAATACCAATAAATAAATTTTCTGAAAACTTTGCCAACTAATTGTATTTAATATAGGTTTAAACTAGAACACGTTAGTTAATTAATATGCAATTAAGTGTTAAAAAACATTACATTTCACTATGGAAGCGGTTTCTGCCACTGAATATAAAAAAAAAAGGGTAACTGTGAATTTACATAAAACAATTCTGACTTTTTTCTCAGAATTGTGAGATGTAAACAATAAAATTGAGTTTATAGCTCACAATTCTTACTTTATTTCTCGCAATTGCAGGTTTATATCCTGCAATTCTGAGAAAAAAGTCAGAACTGTGAGATGTAAACTTGCAACTGTCAGAAAAAAAACCTCACAATTTTATTTCTCACAGTTTGTTTGTGTGTGTGTAAGCATATACTGTGTTTTGGTGTTCAGTGTTTGATTGACCGATATCAATTACATTCTAAAACTCACTTGAGACTATAAATCACAGGACCTTCTTGATGACAAAATACTCCAACTTATATATTTATAAATCTATTTTGGAATAATTGATCTAGAAGTAATGTTACTTGCATATATGGGATGTGTAGATGACTTCCTCCATTTGTAGTACTTACACAGGATGCTTATTAAACATAATAGGAAGGAACTCGTCCACAGGCAAAATTTTACTGAGTGGTTCTGCTTTGAGGAGCTTTTTGGCTCCTTGTAATGACATCATGTAGCCCAAGGTCCAATAGGAATAGTCCGCCTCCACCAGGTTGCGAATGTTTGGTACTGCCTTCTCAGGTCGGTCCACTTGCATCCTCTTCCTCCCAATATAACTGCAAAAACACACAACAACCAAAATGAACAAAGCTCCCATCAATACATAACCCCAAAATTGAGTGCAGCCAATGACTGTACACAAAAAGAGCCGCTCACATGAGGTCCCAGTCCAGACCCTTACTCTCCACCTCACGCATCAGATTCTGTAGGCGGCGCTTGAAGAAAATCTCAAACCGCAAATCATCTTCAAGCACCAGCGAGGTCTTCAGGCCTCTGTCTACAATCTGTGTATTACAGCATATAAACATCAACGCTTTAGATGCTCACAAAAACCCTGAGTCTATATTCACACTCTCTTCCAAAACGAGCTGCCTAATTAGACAGTATTTTAAGGCAGATATTAACACAAGGCGCTTCCAAAACATGGTGAGTATAAGTGACTTTAAACATTAAAAAAATCTTACCGACCCCAAACATTTCAATGGTAGTTTATGTAGGCAGCAGAGAGTAAGACATCTTGCTAGATTTGGGAACAGAACTACAAACTGGGATATGAGCCAGACCTCTTTCCAGATGTTATAGTGGGACAGGAAGCAGCCCATCTCTCCTCTCGTCAGAGGTCTGCCATGGTAGGGGTCACTGTAGCCGGGAAGCATGTGGACTCCCATAGCATGGATCTCACTGACGTTCATAGCTCTGGCATATAAAAGAAAGGCTGTGAGCAAATGTTTCGTGCTGGAAATGACTGCTGCATTTGTTTGAAGGTAACAGAAGTGAACTTACTTGCCATCAACAGCTGCTATAATCTTGCAGTCGATTTCTTGCTCTCTCAGCGCCCTCAGCATGCACTCACGACGGTCGGCCCGCCGCTTCAGGTTGATCATAAATACCTTTGGAAATACATAAAAGCACACTGAATACAACGTTACAAAAGAACCATTCCAATCAGTACAACCAACCCACACGTTTACCTCATCAAAGTCCATTTTGTCAGGTCTTTTGACAGGTTTGGGTAAGTATCTGGAAGGCTCAACTGGAGGATTTCGCACTGGAAATGAAAAGAGGTGGTTACATTCGATAAAGCATAAGTATTTTTTTGTGAAGCTGAAACGTACCATTGACCTCCAGCAAAGTATGAATAAAGCTGTCAGCTTCATCCTGCATGGTGCTGTGGGCACGAAGAGGCACTGGCAGATGCCCATAAGTCTCCTTGTTACAAATAAACATTTGTACCTCTGCAAAATCCACAGAGAATACAAATAAAAGTGTGGAATAATAGGCACAATATCATCTTAAAGGAATGGTACATACGAAAATGTAAATTCAGTCATCATTTATACACTCATGTCATTTCAAACCTGCTTGATGTTCTTTCTTCTCTGGAACATAATAGATGATATTTTAAAAACGTCTCAGTGTTGTTTTTTTGTCCATACAAAAGTCATTGTGCTTGGACTTCATTGTAAATATTCTTCAAAATATCTTCTTTTGTGCTCCACAGAAGAAAGTCAGTCATTCAGGTTTGGAGCAACAAATTATTTTGATTTTAGATTAACAGGCATGGATTGTGGGTATCTGTCGTGGCACCCACCTGCCATGCGGGCTGAAAAAGCAAAGACTATAATGTCGTCAAAGGCCCAGGTGTAGTCTGGATGTGGTGGGTGAAAAGCAAGCAGTCTGGAAGCTTCTTTCCGCAGGTCAACCAGGAAAGTCGAGTGCACCATGGGAATGGCAAAGCAACCCCTACGCACTTGCTTGCGCATGGGGATGTAGGCAGGGGTTCGTTTATAGTAGCCCTGGAGAAGTTTGATCATATATGTTTGTTTTTTCATATTTCTGGAGAAAGTGAAAGATCACATGCACGTATTCAGAGGAACTGTACCTGGGATGTCATTCCACACCAGAAGTTTGAGTAGGCAGCACGAGACTCCATCATTGGTGCCACAACTGTCTTGTTCTCCTTTATTAGTTTCCATAAGACGTCTCGGTTGATCAGGAGATTATCACAATCAATCATCTGGAAAGACAGAAAATAATACATTTGCATGCATGCACAAACGAGCTGCCTACAAAAACAAAGCTTACTCAAGAGAGTCACCAAAAAGCAGATTAGGAAGTAAAATCAAATACAATCACGACTCTAAATCAGTGGTGTTCAATGTTATTGATTGTGTACAACACAGTATTCAAGGCCCCCCCCCCCCATTAAGATATTTCTTGTAGTGTATCCAATGTATTCAATTCTGCTTGTATTCAATTTCTAACAGAAACTGGGAGTCTTGCTTTAATTATTACGGATTTATTTTGTAATTTAAGAAGTTTCTAGAACTGTATGTTCTTAATGAGTGTTCACATGCAGTCATCATTTAAACTGTCACTTCTGGCCAAAATAACAGAGTTCATCCCTGTTTATCCCGTTGGGTTCTCGCACCAAAATCCACCGATCCATTTGTTTAGGACTGTTTTGGCTTGTAAACTAGGGTGACCATACGTGCCATTTTCCCAGGACGCGTCCTGGCCAGGATTTCTATATTGCCTAAAATATCTAGGTTTTGGCTTTGTTTGTGTGTGCAGACCGATCGGTGTATGACATCAAAGTACCATACAGACAGTTACGCTTTCGAAACGCTCTCGAGGTACTTTGATGTCAAACACTGATCGGTCTGAGCCGCACTGCTTTTAAGTCGAACACACCTAATATGTACGCGTAATTGCATCGCTTTGACCGTAGATCCCACCTTCTCACACGCCATGATTGGTCCATTATGTACAATGCTTGCATGTTATTGGTCAAACTACTTTTCGATCATTACCTTCAGCAAGCATGAACACAGGAAAACAAAGTCAAAACAAATCCTGGCCAGGACGCGTCCTGGGAAAATGGCACGTATGGTCACCCTATTGTAAACGGTACTTCATTTGTGCAGATTTCTCTCCTGATTCAGACAAGACTAATTTTTTCGGAGAAAGCAATTGTATGTATAAAGGATGCAAAGTAATGGTCACCACTTTTCACTTCAAGATGTTAATTGCTGGACTGGAGTGGTGTGGATTATTGTGATGTTTTTAATCAGCTGTTTGGACTCTCATTCTGACGGCACCCATTCACTGCAGAGGATCCATTAGTGATGTAATTTTAGATTTCTCCAAATCTGTTTCTATGAAGAAACAAACCCCTCTACGTCTTGGATGGCTTGAGGCAGAGTACATTTTCAGCATTTTTGTGATTGAAATTGACACTGCCCAATTACTTCAGTTATCTCAATAACAGAGATTAAATCAAATAATCGTGATAATCAGATGATTAATCAATAATCACACCATTCAATGGCCACAAGTCTCTATTTACCAACTCACCATGAGATAGTCTGCCCACATCTCTCGTGCAGACTCAAGTGCTGCCTGCCGCAGTTTCATGACGTAGGCGTAGCGCTCATTCGTCCAATCCTTTGGTCCTTCCTCATCATGATATTTTCTGAATGAGAAAGAGAAATGTAGTACAAGGAAATGCACAAATGAACCAGTTCCATGAAACCACAAGTGAAGAAACATGGCAAACCTTGGTTCCTCCTTTGGCCTCCACTCCACATAATGGTAGAGTTTCTGTACACTGATGAGCCAGTCTCGCAGTAGGTAAGTAGTGTTGTCAATATTGTGGTCGGTTGCCACCCTGTCAGAAACATACAAACGGTGCTCATTATGTGCACTTTACTTTCTACAGAATACAATATCTGGTGGAAACTAAAGATTACATGAGCTAACCACGAGCTTATTATTACCTGCACTCGCACAGAGTATAATCACACCATATCTAAAACGACATTTCAAGTGCATAATGTATATTTAGACCAGCAACAGGGAAACGAGTGAAGAAACACAAAAGCTCTAAATTAAACTCTACAGCAGAACTAGACTAAAAGGGTAACGGAACATGAGAAGTGAAACTGCCATGCTATCGGGTTATCACAGAGAGACCGTGGCAAAGATAAAGTAAACGGAGAGGTAGCGTCCCATTCTGCTGAAGACATAAGTTACACCACACGTCCTACTTTTCACTGGCTCCGTCTCAGAATGAACAGATGAGTCTCCCACAGCTGTGAGGCCTAAGAGTCTACAGATCCAAACAGTTAACCCATCGACTCTGGCCAACAGCTACTACTACTATAGTACAAACTGATTCCTGAAGGAACTTCAAGTCAGATTTTTACAAAGGCTATTTTCAAACAGCTGTATAAGTGGTTTTCAACTTTTTTTTACTCAAAGGCCCCTTGTTGTTTAACACAATACATTACGATATTTCCGGTATTTCTGCTGCAATTGACAAAGCTGCTTGTTTTGAAACCTTTTTATTAACAGAAACTAGAAATATTGATAATATATTAATTAACCACAATCATTTTGTGACTTTAGAAGTTTCATGAAATGCATGTTCTTCAATTCAAAACAAGTTATTTAGGGGGGAAATAAATATTTGTACTATTTTTAATTTTATTGATTGTTTTTAATATTTTATTATTATTATTTTAACATTTTACTTCAGATGCTAGTTTATGCTAATATATTAATAATGATTTATTTTTAATACTTTTTAGTATAAACTTGAGGCGGAAGTTTTCTGAGGCCCCCTAGTTAAATGAGTTATGTTAGGTCATGACTAAACTAGGTTTATGTACATTAATTTCCGCTTCTGCCATTGTACAGAAGTGAAACCATGCAGTTGTTATCTTAAAAAGCTATTTCTACTTAATCTAACCTTAAACTGTTATTTTTGTTGTTGTAACTTAATGTAATCATGTGAATTCAGTCATGTTAAAAAAAAAAAAAAAAAAAAAAAAAGAATAAAACCAATTAATGGATTTAAGGGATAATCCAACCAAAAATGAAAATTCTGTTGTCATATTGGCCCTCATTTTGCATGCATTTTTTTTTTTCTGCTGAACACAAAGGAAGGTATTTTGAAACAATGTTGGTAACCAAACAGTTTTAGTTCCCATTGACTTCTATTGTATATTTTGGCCATGCTGTTTGGTTACCTACATTCTTTTAAAACCTTCTTTTGTGTTTCACACAAGTCGTACAGGACAGGGGGAGAAAAATGACAATTTTATTTTTTTGCTTTTTTATATACACTAAGAATAAAAATAAGTAAAGGGAAGAGAGGGGAAATGGGTTCACCAAATGACACGAGCCAAATTCAGACCTGTGATGTCAACGTGTTGGAGCATGTGCACTAACCTCTAGACCACAGCTCCATCACCTGACAGCTTTTTATTAACAAAAAAAGCTTAATCCGCATGTTGTCTGTGAGACCCATATGCTACCACATAAATTTACACACAGAAAAACAAATAAATCTGTACAAATAAATTATAATGTACAATCAGCTAATCATTGTCCATCTGCCTGTACATTATTATACCGAAATACCGAAATACTCGCCAGATAAATTCATTCATGGATAAGAAATATTGGGCGAGTGGTCATTATTCTGAAACCTTTAACTATTAAACAAATAGTCTAAATGGAGTCTAACCAATCAGAACCAAGTATTCCAGAAAAACGTGTAATAATTTATTTATGTTTTAATACAGTGATCAATAACATTTCACAGCATTTCTGTTTTGCCGTGTTAACTCCTATTCCCTTGTCGTTATATGACAATTCAATCTGGGGCACGACTACGGCGAGCTTCAGAGCGTTCTTGGTAAATGACACCTTTACAACAGAGCTCTTCATTCACTGGTTAGGACAATGACAACTTTAAAGGAAAATTTCAAGTAAAGCTGGCAGAGATGAGCAGGACACAGCGAGTATGGAGAAGCCCCTCCCATCTAAGTTTTTTCTTCTTCTTAAATTTACCCTCCAGAGCATTGAATTGCTGGCAGACAGATGTTCACTTCACAGACACCAAGAATGAAAACCTAGTCCAAAAAGCAATTGAAAGTAGTGCCACAAGTAACAAATGTGACCCTGGACCACAAGACCAGTCATAAGGGTCAATTTTTTTTAAAATTGAGATTTATACATCATCTGAAAGCTGAATAAATAAGCTTCTTTTTTTGTTTTGTTAGGATAGGACAATATTTGGCAGAGATACAACTATTTGAAAATCTGGAATCTGAGGGTGCAAAAAAATTCAAATATCGATAAAATCACCTTTAAAAGTTGTCCAAATGAAGTTCTTACCAATGTATATTACTAATCAAATTACGTTTTGATGCATTTATGGTAGGAAATTTACAAAATATCTTCATGGAACATGATAATTACTTAATATCCTAATGATTTTTGGCATAAAAGAAAAATACATAATTCTGACCCATACAATGTATTGTTGGCTACATATACCCGTGCTACTTATGACTGGTTTTGTGCTCCAGGGTCACAAATGGGATACTAGTGTCTGGTAAAAAAACAGGGGTAGGCCTATCTAATAATTAATTACTAGTACAGCTCAAGTAGATACTATTAAAAACTAGGATAGTTACTTGTAACATAGTAATAAGTCCTAGTACATGTGAATGAATAGTTAAACTGGAAGAGTTACAAGCAACAACTGGAAGACACACAACGGATGTTAAGTTTGCTACCATTAACAATAAAGGAAATGTTGAGGAAATTGACTAGTCACTTAGTGTGTCATGGATAAGCAAGTACTAACCTTAGTCACTATTGGAAAACTTAGAATTAATGAAAAATTCGTACTATTACCAGTGTTGGGGGTAACACATTATAAGTAACGCAAGTTACATAATCAGATTACTTTTTTCAAGTAACTAGTAAAGTAACGCATTACTTTTTAATTTACAAGAGAATATCTGAGTTACTTTTTCAAATAAGTAACGCAAGTTACTTTTTTTTTCAATTTATTGATTGACAGCTCTCCTGTCCTCATGTTGAGAGAAATCAGAAGATGTTACTGTAGTTCTAAAATAAATATGAATATGCATTCATTCATCTCACTCACAAAAAAAATACACAAATTCAGTATTCCTCAAAATGAATAAAAATAATGCAACTCAGAATATGATGCAAACCTGCAATAATTAAATGTTAAACAACACAAATATCCTTTATGTATTTAATCCCATTCTATTAACCAATGTCTTTGCTTCTGACCTTCGATGATCCAGTTCAACCATACTAATAAGCAAAAATTACTCTAGATAAACATTTGTGTCTTTTTTATTGCTGAAGTGTGTTGAAATTTCTTCTTCTTCTGTAAATTTCTTCTTTCTTTCTTTCTACTGTACGGACGAAAATGTACTTTCCCTTCAGCCTGAGGCTTATTCATTTCACTTTTGGTGTGAAAAGGCTTTTATATTTGCCAAGAATATAACTTTTATTTTAAAAACAAACAAGCAAGCCCTGTGTCTTTTTTTTTATTGCTGAAGTGTGTTGAAATTTCTTCTTCTTCTGTAAATTTCTTCTTTCTTTCTTTCTACTGTACGGACGAAAATGTACTTTCCCTTCAGCCTGAGGCTTATTCATTTCACTTTTGGTGTGAAAAGGCTTTTATATTTGCCAAGAATATAACTTTTATTTTAAAAACAAACAAGCAAGCCCTGTCCAGATTTAAAAAGTAACGCAAAAGTAACGTAACGCATTAAGTTCCATAAAAAATAACAAAGTAACGTAACTAGTTACTTTTTTATGGAGTAACGCAATATTGTAATGCATTACTTTTAAAAGTAACTTTCCCCAACACTGAATTTACCACGCGCATACTACAGGCATTATGACATCAGTAACACAAGCGTCTTGACTCTGAGCAGCTGCACACACACACACAGACACACACACACACTTACCACAGCGCGATCCGGTCTTTAGGGTAATCGAGGCGCTCGATAGTACCGAGGAAATGTGGCAGCGAGTGCTGGGCGTTACGGCAGATGAGAGCGATCATTACTCGGGGAGCTAATATAGGAGACTCCGGGCTCCAGCGCTCTTCGTGGAAGTATGCTTGAGCTGGTCCAGTGTTCATCAGACAGGACCACAGCACCGACACGAACAACACGAACCAGAGCATTGTACTGCACACACTCTTTACGAACAGGCATACGAGCTCTTACAGCTAACCACACTGTTACACCCAGAGGTAGAAAGTTAAAACGGGTAACTATAGTTTAAATAATTCCGCCGACCAAAATCAGCCTGCATTGACAACACTGCAGTTTGGGAGACGAGCGAGTTAAAGGGGATGTTACGCTGACGTTTAAAGAGGAGGGACACGTTCTTCAAACCAAGAGCATAGTAACATTACATCAAGGCTAGTCAACTCCGGTCCTGGAGGACCAGTGATCTGCTAGTTTACTTCCAACCCTTATCCAGCGCACCTGTTCATCATTTTTAAATAGTCCTGAATACTTTGATTAGCCTGGTCAGGTGTGTTTAATAAGGGTTGGAACTAAACTCTGCAGGACACCGGCCCTCCAGGAGTCAGGAGCCGAATTGAAGAGCCCTGCGTTACATTAATTTATATTTCAAAACATTAGCTGTCTTTATAAAAAAACAACAAAAAAAATGAGATATATATATCTCTAGCAGATTAGTAAACATTGTATATTCTAGTATAAGTTTAATGTTTTATAATGCATTCTTTATTTCAAGTAATAAAAATGTTATATATATATATATATATGTGTGTATATAGTAGAATAGTATGTTTTTGTAAAATGTACTCCAATAATCTGTATTTTATTTGTTTCTGCCACGACTTTTTCTCACAATTCTGTCTTTTTTTCCTCACAATTCTGAGAAAAAAGTCGGAAATATTAGATATAAAATTGCTATTGCAAGAAATAAGTTTAACTGTGAGATAAAATGTCACAATTACTTTTTTTATTTATCCCATGGCAAATGAAATGCAACCAAAATACAAAAATTGCATAATGGATATTAACCTCCCAAAAAATAATTCAATATTTTGATCAATTTTTTTAAATAACAGATTCAGATTGCATCTAACAAAATGTACAGAGGTAACCATGTTATTTCACTGAAATGCCATAGTTTCCACAGTCATTGTTATAATAATAAAGCTATGGTAACGTAGTATTAGTAAAAAGGTGTGCGTTTGTTTTACTACTTTATTGTTTTATATATATATATATATACATATATATATATATAAATTTGGATTCTGAAAGCTTCATAGATCCCATAATAGTTTTACAGTAGTAATGATAATTGCAGTAATTATAATATAATGATAATTTAAAAAAATCTTTGCAAACATAGTGCTTTTTAAGGACTTCATAAAAATACTAGACAGTGTTTTTACAAGTTCTGTCTCCTAAATTCAGAGCTTTGCTCCGGGTCCTGGCCTCTCCACCTGAGACGTGAGGGAGGCAGCTGCTGGTTCATCCACTAGCCAGAAGAGCTCTCCCTGTCTAGGTGCGACCAGAGCTGCTGGGAGTGCAGGGCCTTCTCCACCCTCCAATACTTGCTACAAAAGTACAGAAAATACAGAATCAAAACCAAAGCAGTAGGATGAAGAATAATAAAGAAAAATTTAACATTTACAATTACAGATATACAATAGGGTCCAAAAGTCTGGTCTGAAACACAATAGAAAGTACTTACCTTGAGTACAGCAGCTTTGCTGCCCCCAGTTGACACAAACACTACACATCGAGCAGCGTTAACAGTGGGTAATGTCATAGTGACACGCTGAGGCGGTGGTTTGGGGGAATCAGAGATGGGCGCCACTGTCCTCTGGCTTTCCTACAAAATCACATTTCCCATAACACAGAGATACTTAAAAAAAGCAAGCCAATAAAATATTTACACAGAATTCCATTTCAAAACAGATAAAGGGTCAATGGAAGAATCAACAGGATTCTGTAATAAGTGGGAAACATGCTACACTAAAAGTAGATGTTATATTGCTGCTTTATCAAGAATTTATCTGAAACCTGTAATAAAGGATGATCTGGAAAGAGAGAGCAGGTATGTCCATCTGGTCCCATTCCCAGCAACAGCATGTCAAAAACCGGTATTTGCTCCGTGTTAAAAGCCTACAATGACAAATATTAATTTGAAAAAAAAAAAAAAATGTTTAATGTAATCTGTCTAGAAAAACGAAATCGCACCTTGCTCAGTTTACCAGCATAGTCATCAGCACATTCTTGCACAGGTAAAGAAGGCTCTATAGCCAAAATCCTTTCTTCTGGAATGATGATTTTCCCAAACAACTGATTCTGTTGGATATAAAAATCAATCAGTAATCATAGTTTTCACATGACATGATCAGCCCAGATTATTGTCATGTTTTTATCAGCTGTTTGGACTCTCATTCTGACGGCACCCATTCACTGCAGAGGATCCATGATTGGTGAGCAAGTGATGTGATACTAAATTTATCCAAATCTGTTACCACGAAGAAACAAACGTACCTACATCTTGGATGGTCTGAGGGTAAGTAAAGTTTCATTTTTGGGTAAACTATTTGTTTGGTTATGGATTGCAAGTGCCCAAAACTTGCAGTTTGTTCCCATATCTTTGATTCCATTCTTTTGAGGGGTGATCTAAATATTTGACAGGCCTGTGCTGCAGTTCTACAGATGTTTTACCTCTTGGTCTCTCTCTGTGTCATGTGACTGAAAACTATGAATTGACTTGATTCGCTCTACAGGTTTTGTAGTATAAGTAAAAGACTGCCACTCCTTCTAATATGTACCGAGTTACCTTATATAAGCCATAAGTGCTCTCAGGATCAGTGAATGGAACGAGTCTCTCATCGCAGAACCCAATGAGCCATCTGCTGCAGTCCAGGTTTGGGACAGCAGGCAGCTCCTTACTCAGGATGGACACCAAACTCCCTCCTGAAAGGCCCAGAGAGAAGCTTGCACCTGTGCTGAGAGCTTTCTCTGCTCGAGAGGACACCAGCTGGGCCAGAGTGGATCCAAGCTCGGCCACTGAGGGGAAAACCACCACTCTTCGTCCAGACATAATTCTCTGAAATAAAGAGAGGCAACGATTATGCCAGTCAGGTCAGATATGAAGCAATGCATAAGTCAACTGACTCTGCACAGCTCATGCGTCCAACTTAGCATGACCAGAAAAAAGAAACAATAAGTTAACTGCCGTCTGCAATTCAGCTGTTGTGAACAACGTGTACTGTTTAATTTGATTGGGCAGTGCAGGTTTGATAAAGTCGAATGAATGAAGGAAGTAAGTTATTGCACCGAAATGTGAGAGCAGTAGAATAAGTGCACTAAGAGCCTACCGACAAACTCGGATAATAATAACACGTAAAAATTATGATTTTATCGTGCTTTTATACTTCCACGCTGGCTTATGGAAGCTGTAAAAACGAAGAAATTACATTTCACTCACCAAGGAATGTTTTCTTAATAGTGAGATTTCCTTTACGTGCCTCTCACGCGATCTGACCAACATCCAATCGCAGCGAACGTTGCCTACTGTTGCATTCTGGGTAATGTAGTGCTGACGAGTCAAGCTCCGTTTCTAAATATTCAGTTGATTTCACGGCCTTGGAGTCTCAAAGTAGAGTCTCAAATCCCAATATAATATAATAAATATAATATAATATAATATAATATAATATAATTAATGTTTTACCATATTTATGACCATATTTATTAGCATTATCACAATATGTAAGGAACAGATAAATTGCAATTTATCTGTGACAATTTAAGAGCCTAAAAAATTTCTCTATGGATGCAAAAAGACATTATATCAGCAGTAAATAATCGAAAATTATATTTACAACATTTTATTTTCCCTGTGGCTGGCACTCAAACGGCTCCATTTCAATAGATGGCGCTAGTGCGCCATATTTAGATAAATCATTTACACTGAGCTAAACGTAGGAGAGGGTGGGTACTACGGGTCAGCTTCAGCCCCAAAAACAAGAGCGTGTTGGGTTTTCTTTGATTCAGACCCGTTTCTTCACAGAAACCTGAGCTTTTTTTTCTTCTACATTTATTGTCATTAGGTGTCGCAAAGACTGTCAGATGGTGTAGTGCAGGGTTTATGAATTTTTCCGGTAGAGAAAAACAAGAACCCCAGACAGATTGCGCATTGGGAGGTTGGCAACAGCTAGACTGTGACTGGGCAGGAGATGGCGGAAGGAAGTGAGGAGACAGGAAGTGAGATGGGATTTGAAGAAGAAGGCGGGAGAGATAGGAGTGTTTGAAATGTAATACGATCAAGAAAACGGAAAAAAAGGAGAAAGTAACATCTAGTGAACAAAACCGTGATAATATTGATAATCGTGATAACTTTGGTCACTATAATCGTGATATGAAATTTTCATACCGTTACATCCCTACATGACACTTGAGCATTTATTAGGGAAAGCAACTGGGAGAATACACAATTTATTAATGTTATTTTTGAAAAACACTGGGTTAAGTGAAAGAATTTAATAGGGGGGTTTTTTTTTTTTGGTTTTGTTTTTTCTCTCCACCTCTCCTTTGATGTCAGTCTAATGCCCACACTCCAGTCTAGTAGGTGGCGGTAATGCACCTTTGAGATGAGTTGCCAACCGCCATTAAACCTGAAAGAAGAAGAAGAAGAAGTAAACGTAGGAGAGGGAACCTTTGGTGTGTAAGATGAAAACTGTGGAAACAGTTTATGTGGCATTATCACGTTAAAACATACGACTAGCTGAAGTATATGAATAGCAGTCGAATCTGTATATATCTGTAAAAAAAAGTTTGTGACTTCCTTTCGAGAGTTTGTGGAAATATTGGGAGATGCTGTCCACTCTCTCCTCTTTTCAGACTCAGTTAGCGTGCATCATGGAAACACTTGTGCAGACAGCTGTGTTAGAGATAGGCAAGCTCGTGGATGTGGAGTGTGAAGTGCTGTTGTCGGAGGTCAGCCGCAGCCGCAGTGAAATCAGCGCTCTGAGGAAGAGACTGAGGCTGATGGAGGTCCAGCCGTGGACAAACACTCGACAAACACCGACAGAGACTTTCACATGTGTCAAGAGGTAGTTCCACTTTTGGGTATTTATTTAGCATGGAATTGCATATACTTTATTAGACAAATATATGCTACCAAATGGTTACTTAACGTAATATATATATATATATATATGTATATGTGTAATGCCAAAATGTACTACGTCCACTGTATATATATATATATATATATATATATATGCAGCCTCTGCTATGCAGTCATATAACATATATAATATGCAACCATGCTGAATAAAGTCCACAGTCAATGCCATGAGCCATACTTATTTAATTTATTCTCTACCGTTTGGAATAGTTAAGATTGTTTAATGTTTTTAAAAAAAGTCTCTTATGCTCACCAAGGCTGCATTTATTTAATCAAAAATACAGTAAAAGCAGTTAAAAATTGTGAAATGTTAGCTACAATTTAGAATGACTGTTTTCTGTTTGAATATATTTTAAAATGTAATTTATTCCTGTAATGTCAAAGCTGAATTTTCAGCATCATTACTCCAGTCTTCAGTGTCACATGATCCTTCAGAAATCATTCTAATATGCTGATTTAATGCTCAAGAAACATTTCTTATTATTATCAATGTTGAAAACTGTTGTGCTGCTTCATATTTTTTGGGAAACTGCGATACATTTCCATTCAAAGGTTTGGGTTAAGAAAGTTTTTTTTTTTAAAAGAAATGTATACTTTAATTCAGTAAGGATGCATTAAATTGTTCAAAAGTGATAGAGAAGATATTTATGGTGTAAAAAGAATAAATAAATGCTGTTCTTTTGAACTTTAATAATAAGAAATGTTTCTTGAACAGCAAATCGGCATATCAGAATGATTTCTGAAGGATCATGTGACACTGAAGACTGGAGTAATGATGCTGAAAATACAACTTTGCATCACAGGAATAAATTGCATTTTAAAATATATTAAAATAGAAAACAGTTACTTTAAATTAAGAATTTTTCACAATATTACAGTTTTTTTTTTTGCTCAAATAAATGCAGCCTTGAGCATAAGAGACTTAAAAATGTTAAAACATGAATTATTCCAAACTTTTGACCACTAGTGCATAACCCTTTTATTTATATTTTATTAGTGAATGTGGCCAAGAAGAGATGCACTGTCATTTGAACAGGTGTAAAGGCCCAAGAAAAGACGTCCCAACAGTAATTCAGCAAGACCAAGTAAGTTCTCTTCTTTATGTAAATATCCATATTGAATGAATGAATGAGAGCTGTAGAAAACGTAATGTTTCTATTTCATACAAATGTAAGATATAATGTGATGTCACAATGTCAAAGGACAGTCCACAGCAGAAGTGTGAGGTAAACCAGCCAATTAGTAGGGTAAATAGTAGGGTAAAAAAAAAAACAGGAAGTAGATGTTTGGATTGGTCAAGACAACTGTGAAGCAGGTAACTAACTGTTGAATAATGGTGGATAATTTTAATTGCCAGTGTTTCTAAATAATTTATAACTTCCACTTACATTACTCTCACTTAACCACAGGAACCCAGTGTGGTGAAGCTGAGAGCCTGTCACCCATCAAGGATGTTCTCAAAACTGTTCCTTGTGTTGGCAGAGGAAGTAGAGAAAACGCAGCCGCGAGGGTCCCATCTAAAGCAGAAAGACCAGAAGTGAACAGAAACTCCTCACCCGGAACAATCACAGTGAACCAGACTGTGCCAAATGGTGAACCAAACGTGTCTTTCAGTCACGCACAGAGTTTGAGTGCATCAAACTCCACAAGAACATCCAGTGCCAACACTATTTCAGGAGACAAGCATTTTGTTTGCTCCTATTGTTCGAAGAGGTTCAGGTGCTTTAGTCAACTTACGATACATCAGCGGAGTCACACAGGTGAGAAGCCATACAGGTGCACGCTCTGTGGAAAGAGGTACTTTCAGAAAGGACACCTGTACACCCATCAGCGCACCCATACCGGAGAGAAGCCATATCGATGTTCGCTCTGTGGAAAAGGCTTTATTCAGAAATGCACTCTAGACAAGCATCTGCGAAGTCACACAGGAGAAAAACCCTACACTTGTACAAAATGTGGGAAAGGGTTCACGACCAAATTTAATCTTAACAAACACTTGTCGTGTCAGACTTGCAACAACATTAGTTAATGACAATAAGCTTGAGTAAATGTGCTGATATTAGTTTCAAACCGCATTGATTTGCACTTTTATGATCACGGAGATCAATGTACAGTTTGATAAACACTTTGATTCATGTGGCATCAGATCAGCATTAAAATCAAGTCTGAAAACTGTTAAACTTGTTCTGTTAAATGTATTTATTTATTGCATTAAACACATTAAGAATATTTTCATGCGTTTAAATATTTTTTTTTTTATTGGGGAGAAAAACCTTTGATATTCTTCCATCATTCCAAAAGGCAAATTTGATAATATTAATAAAATATGCTCTTGTTCTTTTTGTGCTTGTAGAAATCTAATATATATATATATATATATATATTTTAAATTTAATTTCCCAGATGTTATTCTGAATAGTTGCATTTTTTTAGCGTATTTTCTATACAGTGTTTTACGGTAATTCATCCCATGATTCCTTTCAGCCAAACGCTATTTATGGTTTCTACAGAAAGATTGTACTGAATATAGGGACAGTGACTGGCAAAAAAAACAGCTATATTAAGAGTACAGTGAAGCCTACATTTGCTCCAGACATTGTAAAGCTTCCCGTAAGCGACGGACATCATGAATACTGCTGATTTTCAGACGCAGCTAACATCCATAATGGAAATTATGGCGAGAACCGCTGTTGCTGAAATAAGCAAACTTTTCGAGGAGAATTCTTTGTTGCTGCGATTACAGATTTCACGCTGTACAAGCGAAAATGAATCTCTGAAAAAGAAATGTCATTTTCTAGAGAATAAACTTCAGTCTGCACGGAAAAGCGCTGGAAAGATGAACGGGTCACAAGCTCCATTCAACCATCCGGGACTTACAGGTGATTTTTATTTTTTTTATAAAACGCGTGTAGTTACTGTGAATTTGCCTAAATTAAATGCAGCGATAGATGGTCACATGAGGATGTGCAGGCTAATTAAAGACCTGAGCTGGTCAACTGAAGGCTGTGTGTTCATACCCCACAAACGATAATGTAACTTGGTGCCCTTGAACTTGAGGGACTGTTGCTGATGTGCTAACCGATACTGTAGTCTTTGCTGTAAGTGAGGTCATTTTTAGGAAACTGTCTGTTCCGTGAGTTACTACAGATATAATTCACAGATTACATTAGTGAACATTATTTGATCAATTGTAATGCACAAACTTTCGAAGATAACTTTCATAATAATAGCCGCCAATTTCGGTGTCCATATTCGTCAACATTTACATTCTAGATATGTAATCTAGTATAGTACTGTATAGATGTATTTGCTCCTCTTGTGTCCGTTGATGTGTGTTTATGAACTTCAGACATCCAGTGGTCTGAGATGGTTCTCAGATGGTCCACCATCCTGCAGTTGATGACCATTTGCAACTATGAAAGTGTCAAGTTCTTTGGCTTGATGCAGTTATTCTAATGAAATCCCATGAAGCAGAATCCCATTTTAGGGCAGGACACTAATGTTTTACAATATGATGTGAAAATTGAATGATTTTATTGCAAGCCATGCCAAATGGAATGATACTACTATTGCAGTACATTTATTACACAATTATTGTGACGGGGTTGAAATAATGTACCATTTTGAGTTGTATTGTATATTTCAAGACTAGTCAGTTTCTTTTGGCCTGAGGTAGAAAAAAGCTCAGCTGAAACCCTTTCAAATGGAATTGTATATCAAAATTGCAGACACGAAAAGCTTTGTTTGTTGAGAATATGTTTTTGTAGGAGTGGTGTAGCTTTACTAATGCCCACATGTTCAACAGACACCGAACGCCAGCCCACAATTGACAATGTCTTCGGTAAGGAATGGTGCATGAACCTCTGGAGACACGAGGAGTCACATGTTGGTCAGAAGGACGACACACACCTAGACTCTTCAGTCAACACAGAAGAGGTTAGTCTCACATATTGCTTACGTTTTTTTAAATACAATGTCAGAATTCAGCTTACTAACTCCTTCTGTATTGCCAATAATTTTAGCCAATAAATTTGCTGGATGAAGAACCAGATGTGATTATGATTAATGAGGAGACGCTGAAGGATGACAATTGCACTGGGAAAAATAAACCTGAAGAAGACGAAAGTAGCAGTTTGAGAGGTTTGTGGAGAGAGAACTTTAAAGGTGCTGTATGTAGGATTGACACCGAGTGGTTGAACTAGGTATTGCAGTCCAAATTCAAAATATTGGAGAGGGTTTTTTTCACCCCGCCCCTCCTCCTCAGACTTGACGCACAGCAGGTTGCCAGATTGACAGTTGCCAGATTGACGACACCAACAGGAACGAGCGCACTTGACGATGAATGAAATTAAATACGCTGTGTTTTCCGCCAACTGGCAACCCGGGGTGCCGAAATACAATTGGGTAAACTGTCAGTGGTCGGGTTTCACAAACCAAAACAGAGACCGACATTCCGGCCCGGAACGCACATTTTCAAAGGAGAATAACTGACTGTAGCATTGTTTTTCAGATAAACAAGTATGTTAACTTAGCATGTTTCTTAAATATCTGCAAACATGGTATTTTTATGCTTTAGTAGAGTCAAAAACTTACATACAGCACCTTTAACAGCTAGTATTAAAGGGATAGTTCACCCAAAAATAAAAATTTGCTGTTAATTTACTCTACCCTCAGGCCATCCAAGATGTAGATGAGCTTTTTCTTCAGTAGAACAGTAAATATTTTTAGCTGAAACCGTGGTCCTTGGTGATTCATAAAGTGCAAATTAATTACTACCGGTCTCAAACTGAAGACCAATGAGCCAGTGGTAAGCGCAAACATGAACTGAGCACTTGAATGAAGGGGTTAAGATGTAAGTTTTAATGGTTTCTTATTGTTTATATAAAAAGGTGAGTTAAGACTAGGTCATTCACTTTATATGCTTTTTTTAGACATGTAAAACATCCATGTTTTACATCATTATTGGTCAATTTAATAACATACATAAACATAAACGAGCTGGTGAATCAGTTATTTGAACCAGTTCATTAAAACAAACTGTTCAAAAGAACCAGTTTGCGGAAAAGAATCCGACTTCCCTGTATAGCCTGAGGCTATAATGTTGCAAATAATGTACATTTTCTTACACAGATTAATCGTTTTGCTTCATATAAGACCTTAATATATTGCCAGGAGCCACAGGTATTCATTTTGCATTTCCTCATATGCCTTTTTTGACTCTTAAAGTGACTGTAGCCATTGATATGCATTTTATGAATCACCAAGGACCATTGTTTCAGCTTAAAAAACTTTTTTACTGTTCTACTGAAGAAAAAATGTCCCCTACTTCTTGGATGGCCAGAGGGTGAGTAAATTAACAGCAAATTTTCATTTTTGGGTGTACTATCCCTTTAACTTTTTTATTATATTCAGATGTTCATGTTTCATTTATTAAATTACAGGATCTGCAATGACCAGTGATGAGAGATGTGTCGCCCAAAGCTCTGAAGAGTGTAACACATACACGGTACCTTCAGATGACCAAGTCCAATCGAACGTGCACCAGACACCAGCTGAAGAACAAGCTCTTGATGGAGCTACACATGGACACATCACAGCAGGGTCAGATCTGAGCCCTGATGTGGGATTTATTCCTAATAACCTGAATTTCAATGGGACAGTTACACCAAAGAAGAAATTCAAGTGTGTGTTCTGTGGGAAAACCTTTGAGTATTTAAGCCATATGACAAGACACATGCGAAAACACTCCGGAGAAAAACCTTACGTCTGTACAGTTTGTGGTAAACGGTTTGCTCAGAAAACATATCTCACAACTCACGAGCGCACTCATTCTGGTGAGAGGCCATACTCGTGCATGGAGTGTGGAAAGAGCTTTTCTCAAAAATCTTCTCTTAATGTACACCTCCGAAGCCACACCGGAGAAAAGCCATATAGCTGCTCACACTGTGGTAAAAGCTACGCCTTCAAAATTGCGCTTAGAACACACCGATGTTAAAACAGAAATAAATTGCTACTGCATATTGTCTCCTTCGTTTTTAGTATAAAACTTCTGTCTAGGTCATTATAGAATATCCTTCTTATCTGTTGTTAGGGGGGAAAAAAGTCAGAGTAGACAAAAATGCTGGTTGTTTGTTTACATGTTCAATATAATGACTCTATAAATAAATGTGCGCACTTACACTAAACAGTCCCCTCTTATAGTAATTTCCATTGATTACAGGCAATATGTTATGGTTTAAACACTGTGTGAACACTGTGAAATGTGTTCTTGTGTGTAGTTTTCTGATACTTTGGGAAAAGAAAAGGAACTATGGATTTGTTCATGCTGTAACTTTTTGTTACCTAACCTTGGTAACTTGATATTTTTACTTTTACCCTTTGCCCTCCCTGAAATATTTTTACATTGCACCATTGTTTTTTATCTACTTAACAGTTTTCTGAATAAAATATTCGTTTTTTTTGTATCAATGTGTGAATTTTTACAAGTAAGTAGTACCTTTTTGACTCAAACAGATCATCAAATGTTTAAGCATATTTATATTAATCATATTTATCTAGAAATATCCTTTATTTGAAGCAATTGCCTTTCACAATAAAATTCACATTAAAACTTTTAATTTTATTCTATTCTCTTTCATTTTAAAGACCTCACCATATTTTCATCCAGTTGGACCATGTGGTTTAAACTTTACATATTAGATTTTCAACTGATTTTATCAACTGTGCTCTTGTAAAGCATGTTTGAGACAGGATAACCAAACAGCGCACTTCAATTCTTGTCCAATTTATTACAATTCTTGGTTACAAAGGTGTCCTTGTTACAGTGTAATTATACATTTATATTAATTAACTACATGTACTTATATATGATTAGGGATTGGTTTAGGTTTACTTGCATGTAATTATGCATAATTTATTGTTATTATCATAGTAAGTACATATGATATGTGTAACAAGGACACCGTAAGATAAAATGTTACCCAATTCTTTATCACACAGTCTGCTTACAGTATGAGCTTTGCAGTTGGTCAGCATAAAGTAGAATAGACAGCAATGGCTCCAATCATTGGTTGTGTGATAGAGGCCCATCAGTAAGGTGGACATATATAATTAATAACACTTTTGACATCGTAATCTTTAAAATGAAATTAAAATCTCTCCTGACGTATGCAAGGCCGATAAACGCCCAGTTTTCAATCCAGTGAACAACCAATCCCACCCAGTGTTGCCAATTTAGCAATTTTGTTGCTAAATTTAGCAACTTTTCAGACTACCCTAGCAACTTTTTCTTCCAAAAGCACCTAGCAACAAATGTAGCTATTTAAAAAAATGTATTTGGCAACTTTTGATAAGTGACTCAAACGATAAAAAAGGCACACATTTTCCATCTAAATTACACAAAAAGAGTAAACCAAAGGTGCCTAGCAGTACACACCACGTGAATTAAGTTAGCTTCTATTTGCAGTTGTTTAATTTAATAATAACAATAATTGAATAATTGTTCATTTGTGATACACCTTGTTAGTAGCTTGTACTTGAGATTGTTGATCAGTTAGTGCGCGATAAGAAAAATGAAAAAGGTACTAGTAATTTTCCAGGACATTATCCATTATCCATTGTAACCCTGTAACCTGAAAACACAAAATACAATGCATAATTTAAAATGTAGTTAAAAAACCTGTGAATAATAATTACGGAAAATTCCTTCATATTAGTAGATTTTGCCCTATTTTTACAGACTTTTCTTAGAGTGTAGCATACTAACTACTAATACACTGTTTAATTGTTCAGAATGAGTAGTTTTACTAGTTTACTAGCAAATAAAAATAAACTTAAACTGTAATCGTTCAAAAATGTGCACGTGTTAAATTCAATGTTGTATTTATAATTAGTTATTTATATTTTAATATTATATTATGCATTTATATTATTTTATAAACGCATCTAAAGTAACATATATAAAATGCAGTTTTTGCTAAAATTTGATGCAGTGACACAATGACTTCAATGACATGGCAACATCATTTAGCAACTTTTAGCAACAAATCAACCTTCCTTTAGCAACTTCAACACTGATCCCACCTTCTGCATTTGACAAGCCATTTTGCACGGAAATGCGTCACAATCTCATCCATTTCATGCCGGGTTAAAAGGGTTTTTGTTTTGGAGCAGTCAAACATTGCTCAAGTAAACCGAGACAACGGCATTCTGGGTGAACTATCGAATAGAAACATCTACACGGTGGTTTACGGTAATTTATCCCATGATTCTTTTCTGCCAAACGGTATGCTTTGTTTACATCTACATAAACACCAAAGGCAACGCAACGCCATTGTTTGAGGTAGAAATAAACATCTATATTAAGACATTAATAGAGTTGCCTGGTCAAAGGGCGAGTGTTTATATCTTTAAAGTGTCCCGTAAAAGATGGACATCATGAATACCGCCGAATTTCAGACACAGTTAACATCCATAATGGAAACGTTAGCGAAAACGGCTGTTGTGGAAATAAGCAAACTTTTGGAGGAGAATGCGTCTTTTCTGCGATTAGAGATTACACGATTTACAAGCGAAAATGAATCTCTGAAAAAGAAATGTCATTTTCTGGAGAATGAACTTCAGTCTGCACGGAAAAGCGCTGGAAAGGTGAACGGGTCACAAGCTCCATTCAACCATCCGGGACTTACAGGTAACGTAACGTTAATATTCAAGTCTTTTCACATGCACAAATTGACATGTGTAGATATACTGATGTTAAATGCAAAAAGGGGCGCTAAAGGACTGATACTTTAAAGCTGGAGATTCTAGCAGCCACGTTGTGCCTCTGACTCTATACCCACCTAATGCCCACATGTTCAACAGACACTGGACATCGTCCTGCAATTGACAATGTATTTGGTAAGGAATGGTGCATGAACCTCTGGAGACACGAGGAGTCACATGTTGGTGAGCAGGAGGACACACATCTGGACTCTTCAGTCATCATAGGAGAGGTTGGTCTCACATACTGCTGCTTTATGTATATGGAGTTCAAAAACAATGTCAGAATGACAAGTTCTGTTTTATTTTCAATCCTTTAGCCAGTAAACTTGCTGGAAGAAGAACCGGACATGATCATGATCAAGGAGGAGGCATTTGAAGACTGCTCTTCAGGAATAAATGAGGAAGACCAAGATAATCAAAGTTTGAAAGGTATGCAGAGAGAGAACTTCATTTATTAATCGGTCATCACCTCATCAGAAGTATGATAAAATACACATACACTGTATGCATTGTGTGCATTTTACGTGATTGATTACCATGTAAACGGCTAACGAATAGCAAATGATTAGTAAATTACTGTACCATTATGAAACCCTACTGTTGTAGACTGCAAAAGTTGTGGAAAGATAACACTGTTTTTTTTTTTTGGAAATGTGCAGAATGGATTTAAATATGTTAAACAAGAGTGCAACGTTCTTTACAGTAGCTAAAAATCATATCAATATGTAATAAACCATCAAAAATGTAATAAACATGCAAGTGGCAGGTCATGTGTATAAGACAATTGTAAATAACAGATGCAACTGAAAAAATTAAATCCAAAATGATCGTTTAAATGTAACCGTAATTATTTGTAAACAAGTTTATTTTAAATTACATTTGGTTTAAGCTTAGTCCTTATTGTTGAAACTTACCCTCATTGTGTGATCTTTCCAACCCCCTACAGGCGCAGTCCAAGAGGAAATCAAAAAAATTATCCCAGAGTTGGACTTAAACAAACTTCAGAATGTGGTCAATCATCTTTCATTAGTGGTGGGTGTGGAGAAGACAGAGGACCTTTCCCTAGTAGAGGTGTCCGATCTTCAGGACTTTCTGGAGCCAATACAGTGCCGAAAACTTGTGAAAACATTCAAACGAAGAGGTAAGAAACAAACTTGTGGCCACAAAACAAGTGCCTGTTGCACACTGTATGGTGTTGCCTTGTCTTGCACTTCACTTTGATGCCCACTTTAAAGAATTGGGGTGTTCACATTTATTACCCCTTTTGCACAACTGGCCCATGTGGACACTGAATTGAGAGACTTTGACCTACAGGTGTGGCCTTTGAAAAAAAATTTTCTCCAGGTGCCTTCACACAACAGTAGTGGTCGGACAGACTTTTTGTTTTTAAAACCAACTCTGACAGGCGCATTTGGTCAGCCAACCTTCCTTCAAATTCAGCTAATGGGTTTAGAGTGGATTTACAGGTATCTCTTGTGCATGCATATCTAATGTCTTTGTCACAGAATTGGGGGACGGTGTGTCATTGTCTCTGAGGTGATAATGGGGGTGTGCAATGTCGTCAGAGCACCGTTTTGTGCTGTTTGAATGTTCAAATGGCCAAATCTCACCCCATTTACACCTGGCATTAAGATGCACCATGGGTGATCAATCATAAGTGCTAAATAAAGGAGTCAACTGGGTCCAAAGTCACAATATTGTATATGCTAATCTATCAAGATGTGTTCTTGGTAGCAACAAAGGAGGTCCACCTAATCAACCAATGCACTAAAACTAGGCTTTAAAACTTTGCTGATTTGAAATGCAAAACGTATCTGTTGTTTGCTTAATACAGGTGCTGTAATTCTGTTTGAAATTTCACATTTGTGGCTACATTAACTATGAAGAGATGGTAGTATTATATGATGATGATGATTATAATAATTATACTTATTAAACTATGATGTAATTTTTGTATTTATGTTAAGTGACACTAGCTACGTTTACATGGACACCTTTTGTTTTAATCGGAATATAATATCATTCTGATTGAGGATTCCGAATGTAGTTTTTACAGGAACGCTAAGTAAAGTGATCGGGTTGATGTGCAATATTCATCGTCTGTTTGATTACGTCATTAACTGAATTTTACCGTACATTTCTGCCATATGTACATCAATTTGACATAGTCACCACTGACAAGCTACTACTAAATATATTGTAGAAACTTCATCTTCTGTAAAGCTGCTTTGCAACGATTTGTATCGTGAAAAGCGCTATACAAATAAACTTGAATTGAATTGAACAAGCATCAATATCAGATTTGATCTTTTGCTCAAATATACAGCTTTCCGCTGTTCATACATACTATTCTCCTGCTATTGCTTCTTTTTGTTTTTAATGAGTAGGCTTAATATTTATCTATTGCGGGTCCTAATTAGGAGACGACGAGCATGTGAAGCTTTGTGCCGTGCTGTTTTTATTCATCAAACAGTAAAATCGCTTCGCTAATACCCATGGCCAAAACAAGCCATCT